CAATCAAATCACGCTTAAAGTCGAAAAGAGTATCAATCCCTTTCACTCCCTTTACTATGCAAGTTGCATGCCAGAAACGCTCGTTCATCAAACAAGTGAATTCCGCTTTCGAAGTTTACTGACAACTCCGCCGTTGCCGGTCCCAAGCCCGGATGAGAACGGAGGAGGGCTGGAGACCGTGGCAAGTCTCCGTAAAATTTAGCCACCTGCTACTCACGCTATTGACGCCATCGAAAATCATACCGGCTCGATCGTCGCCCCGGTTACCAAGGGCCCCGCAGGCTGTTCGGGGACTGAAGCAGGCTGCGAAAAGTAGGCGATCAGAACCTGCTCACTGCCCTCTGCCGGGCGGAAAGCGTACCAGCACAACGATGGCTGACGAAGACCGACGGAACGACGACGAAAACACCAGTCGGCAACGGAGTCGCTAACCGTTCTGAACGGAGGAGGTAGACAGCGCGATGCCATTACAGCACGTCAAAAATGGCTCCACGAGAACGACACCACCAGTGGGAGCCTAAAGTCGGAAATTGGAACATATCCTCACTCAAAGGAAACGAACAAGAATTGGTTGATGAGGCCATAAAGTACCAACTCGACAATGCTGGTCTCTCGTCAACGAAAAGCCCAGGCTCTGGACTCCCGAACCTCAATGGACGGAAGCTGTTCTACTCAGGCGTCGATATCACCACTAGCGCTCAAGCCGGTGTTTGCGTTCTGGTAGAACCGAACCTTGCCGATAGAATAATCGACTGGAAGCCTGTCAGCGAAAGGGTGGTAGTCCTCGACTGAAGCTACAACAGGCTAAATCCATGACCTTGGTACAGGTCTATAATGCCAAATCTGGAGGGAGAATATGGCTTTCCATAAGCAAGTGCAGCGTGCTCTGTCCGAAGTGCCGAATACAGAGTCCATCATACTCATGAGGATTTCAATGCGCATATCGGAGTAGACGTTGAAAAGTGGAATGGCGCGATTGGAAAAAACAGCCATAACGACCTGAACAATAACGGCAAGAAGTTGTTGCGGTTCTGTGCAAACAACGGATTGTCCATTATGAACACCTTCTTGAAGCATCGAAGAGTGAATCAGTACACCTGGTACCGGGAAGCTTGTGCACAGAAGTCGATGATCGATTCGATAATCGTATCGTCTGACCTAATACGCTCAGTAATGGATGTTCGTGTTAACAGAAGCGCAGAGCTATCAACTGATCATCACCTTGTTGTTGCCACGCTGTAAGAAATCAAGTACCATACGAAGATCTGGTGGCAAAAGCAACCGGAGAATCAAATGGGAAACATTATCTTCGGTGAACACCAAAGCGAAATTGGCGAAAAACATCGCATGACGGTTTGAACAGATCCCAGTGTTTGCACCTGATGCGGAAACCGAATGGCAGCTCTTTAAGAGCGGCATACTCGAGGCTGCCGCCGAATGCTGCGGATATAAATGGGTTGGCCTGCCGCCAGGAGGTCAGAAAAGAACTTCATGGTGGATACGAGAGGTACAACTGGCAGTTAAAGAGAAGAAAGCAGCGCTCAAGAAATGGCTCGGAAACAAGGAGCCATCTATTCGTGCGCGATATGTCCAGGCACGCAAGGCGGCAGCGATAGCACAGGCAAAAGCCAAAGCTGATTCCTGGGAGAAGTTCGGTGAGATGCTGGAGTCTAATTTCCACACGGCAAACAAAGTATTCTGGCAGACAATCCGCCGGCTCCGACGTGAAAAGAAGGGCAGTCTCAGAGTCTTGAAGGAC